TATATTAAATTGTACGTAGTTTCAAAAATCTATAGTTAAAAGCGCATTAAAATATTCGAAAATTTGAGGAAGATATAGCTGAAAATGTGAAAGCGCGCACAACTCATCGAGACAGTAAAAAATTAGTTATCTGTTGCAATTTATTTGGAATCTGTTATCTGTTATCTAATTTACGACCGAAAGTATTCAGTCACACTATGTTCTTTCTTAGGTTTCTTTTGTCCGTTTCAGGTAGAACAAAAAAAATAACAGTCCGGGATAAGTCGTCAAATATTCGAAAAATATTGTAAAAATTTTTTATTAGTTTATATTGCTATGTATGCTTGTAAATATTTCTTTGATGTGGGTGCCACACATTAACATATTTATTTATATATAAATCTAAATTCTCTTTATTTAAACCAAATATTGTTTACTTAAATCAGCTAAATAATATTTGATTTAAATAAAGAGAATGTAGATTTAAATAAATATGTTAATAGTATCCATAAAAAAAATATTTGATATATTAATTTTAAGATAATTTTTCCCTCAGTGTAGAGTATAGAAATCGTCAAAACGGTTACCTATTTACAGTTATTTCGACACAAAGAACGATTATTCCATGTATTCTTTCATGTACTTTTCTCTCTCACACGTAACTTTGACACATTTCGGTGCCAGCAGTTTTCTTCTATATATATATGACTAACCAACCGAGAAGGTCAGATTAAATATTTTTCTTACAATTGCTTGAATTCACTATTATCCAAAAGTATTTTAAATATTTAAATACATGGAACCTTGGAACCCTAACTTTCTCAATCTTTGAGCTTTTAACGAGATTTTAATGACTAAAAATGTCCAACATTTTTAGCACGTTTGTGTTATTTTATGCAGTAGTGAAATTTGTTTCTTTCATTGCTATCCGTATAACAGTTGACTATTCAATTCCTAAATAGCACAGAGCATTCAAAAAGAATTCAGTCATATGTGACCAATTCTTTTTAAATATTTTTTTAATTCTCTGAACTATCTAGGTTTTATTAATTGCTATATTGTGGAGTACAACCGATAGGCAACCCATGCAGCACAAATGTTCAATAGATATTCTAAGAACATTCTAAGAATATTCGGGTATTCTTAGAATATCTTTAGATATTCTTAGGATATCCAGTGCTATATAGGAATAGGCTTAAGATTGAAATATAGAAAATCCAAACTTTTCCTTGGACTAGGCTCGAAAATTTCACTTAACAAATAGAGTAGAGTAGGATTTAATTGAACAATCAGGATAAAGAGAACTAAAATTTCTTTATCATTATTGCTTAATTAAATGCTATTCTATATCAAGTATAGTTTACGAACGCAATCCTAAATAAAAAAATCCGCCGTAGCGCGCTATTAGTTTAAACTAATAACTAAATTTGATGCCTAAATTAATGACGAAATTTAGTCATTCAGTATGTTCAGACATGTTATTATATTAACTGGAAGGCAAGAGTTTTTACTCTTTT